CAGGCAGCCCTGCCCGTGGCTTCCTCGCTGAGTTCTATACTGTACCCGTCTTGCACACGCAGGCACTCCAGCAAGCCACAAAGGTGGCCTCGGGCTAGTGCTGTCTCCCCTGCAGGTTTGGAAACAGAATTTTCAAAAATTTACCACTTTTTATTTTTACAAAATTCCTCTTACTCTTAGCCAGACTTGCTGTTTTATCTACTATATCTTTGTTGTTTGTAATTTTTTAAGGATACAAGGAGAAGTTGTTCAAAATACCAATGAAATTTGAGTCAGTTTTCTTCTTAATTGTTCCTTATGTCACTTTTTAAATTTTAAACTGTATTAACTTACTGGAAAACACAGTGGGTGGGAGTAACAACCTCCATATCGTCTCCAGACCTTCTAGTTTTGCTAAAACCAGAAAAGTGAAGCTAGACTAGGATCAATTTGAAATATATCCACTAAATCACTTACTGGTTGTGCTGAATAATTAAAAATACTTTACTTTCATAATCCTGCAACAGATGTTACTAACTCCTCTAGCAGCTGAGGAAACTGAGCCACAGAGAGTGGCACAGACACTGCCCCTGCACTCGTGCCAGGCCGGCCTGGGACCGGGCTGTGTGGCCACCATTGTCAGGAAAAGGCCTCCTAATGCCCCTTGGAAGTTGCTCTTCAAGAGCAAGTCCTCGAACCAAAAGCACAGAGGTCAACAATGGGGTTTAGAAGCGGACAGTTAGGGCCCTTTGTTTTCTGCCCTCACCTGGTTCCACGGTCTTCGTAACGTCCTCGGCGTCTCCAAGCTTTAGCTTCCTCTGCTGTGGGGGAGACAGGACTACCTTCCTCGTGGGGGTGGTTGTGATGAGCTGATGAGGCAACCTCACCCAGGGCCAGCCCTGTACCCGGCCCACAGTCAGCATTCAGTTACGGCAGTGCCTGGGGTCTCCCGCAGAGCCAGGCGGCCCAGGTGCCCCCCACACCCGCACTCTGAGCACCGTAGAGCTCTTCTTCATCCTCAAAAACCTGGTTTTGTTTTAATTGTAAAACAGTTTTGTTTAATTGTGAATACTTCGAAGTCATGGGAAGGCAACTTTTTGCCTTTAAACTTTTTGTTATTTTATTTAAAATTTGACATGGAAGGTCAAATTAGTTTTGAAAAGTAGTTTTAAGACTAGTTTTGAAAAATAATCCTTTCAAACTAAAATTCCAATTGCCAAAAACCAATTCAAATTGACTGTGATCATACATTGCAGTGAATAGAACCAAACGGTTTCAAGGGAGATTTTTTCCAGCACAGTCCGGCAGTCCTGGCCTGCTGCACGGCAGCTGCAGCCTTGTCGCCGGTGGGCGGCGCGGCGTCCTCTGCCCTCCGCGTGGGTCCCACCTGCCTGTGCTTTCTCTCTCAGATCCTGGCGCTCGTAGCTGTCAGAAAAGGCATGGACTACGTCTTCTCCCAGCACGACCTCAGCTTCCTGGACGACGTCATCCCAGAAAAGGACAAGAAGAAGAAGGAGGACGAGAAGAAGAAGAAGAAGAAGAAGGGAAGTGTGGACAGCGACAACGATGATGTAAGCGGCTTCCCGGGACCCCAGGGTAAAGCTGGTCAATGAAGGCAAAGTGAAAAATGCCACGTTTTAACCTGAGGAGAGATGGAAGGCCGGGTTCTAAGGATGTCCGGCCGTGCCACTTCACTCACTCCACCTTCCTCTGCCCTCTGTTCTCTCTCTCTCTTTTTTTTTTATATTTTCTGAAGTCTTTCTGTAACTAATAATGACATAACAACTAATAATCAAGTCTAAAACAATTTCAAAACCCACCACATTTAAAGGAGTTTGATCTAATAGATATAAAAGAAGTTTGCTGACATTCTATAAAACGTATTTTGTTTGCCATTGGTAATCCAGCATTTACATTTGAGTTAATAGCTCAAGTTTATGTAGCGTCAAGCCCAGTGTGGAGACTGCACCTCCTGGGGTCCACGTGTCTATCTGAGCAGGCTCTCAGCAGCGCCATGCTCACACCAGGGCTGCGTTCCAGCTGACTCCACCTGCCACTCCAGGGGCCCCAGGGTAGCTCTTCCCCTTAGCTCTTCAATGACAAGGAAAGGGAGGTGGAGCCTGGGGTGTTTTCACAAAATGACAGCGCTCAGTGTGGTCCAAATGGTCTTCCTGCATTAGGTGATTTAAGTTAGGAAATAAAATTATTGCTCATTTTTTTAGGAGACTATTACATAGAAACTCAGATGTTCCAGCAGAGATCTGTAATCAGAGCTAGGAGAAACAGCACACCCCCAGCTCATCCCAGGAGCCTTAAGAAAAGATTGCCAAAATAGCATTTTCCATTTGAGAATTGTTTTGGACTTTACCCAGTGCAGTATCACAAGTTATTTGTGTGTGTGTTGTTACCCTTCTTGAGTAGAAATGTAAGGTTTAGCGTCTGCTCGGCACTTCCTAACTCAGGCCGATCTGGCACACCTCACCTCTCATTGTCTTAACAGCCTTTGCGATGTTTTGTTCCCATTTTATAAATGAAGAAATTCAGACTGAGCACTGTCTTTTAAAATTTTTCAGCGTTATTGAGATGTGTCTGACAGATAAAGTTGCCTATATGTAAGGTGCACACTGTGGTGCTTTGACATATGGATTTAAGTCCTTTTCCTAAATTTGCACAGCCACAGTGGTAAAGCCCAGTCTCTGTCCAGGCCTCCCCGGTTGTGTCCTATTGATGAGGCTGGCTGCTTGCATTCTTTTTGTAGAACTTGGAAATAGTACAGTGAAGGAAGCAGCAGGCAGAATTGGATTTCACGTACATCAATCTGA